TGGCAATGGTGGAAAAGGAGGGGGGGTCATACTTTGTCAGAAAACATGCATAGGGTTCCCCTTTGATAACAAGTATGACGTCATTTCAATCTCGCATTGTATGGAAATTCGTAAATTTAAAAATCTAATAAATAATAAAAGGATTTGGGTCAAATTGAACTGTACCTCGATTATGTTGAGCTGGAATAGCAGGTTACAGGGAAACTAAAGAAGTTACAGTGACTCTGAGTCAGGTGCCTGCTCGACAATGGCGACATCAAGTTCAGCACGTGGCGGCGTAGTAGTGCATAAGTTGCTTCAGGTACTCTATGTTTTAGGCCTGGATACGGAACTTCTTGTGATTTCTCTGGAATAAGGTCCCCTGGCCTTCAAAGCTCTTGATACACGTAACATATTTACTTGTATTTGACAATAAATCAGCAGATGATGATCGATTAATTCTTTCTAAAAAAAATTTTGCGTCTGCTTCCGTCAAATTACAGATTAAAAAGGAATATTCTAGAAGACATGCGCATACAAGAGATATCAAGAATTGTTTGAGCACCTAGCCCGATGATTTATGAAGTTCAACGTTAAGAAACGAGCCCGATGATTTATGAAGTTCAACGTTAAGAAACTAAGAGCTATCTATCTTTGTATGTATAAATTGAAGCTGCACGAAATAACCAGGTTTATCCATATTGGATAAACCCCATTATATATCGTCCAGTCAGGATGTCAATCATTTGTGGTTCCATGCATATTATATATATAATTTTTTTCTCTTTTTAGAATTTTTTCTGATTTTCTTGTAACCTATTTTACAACTTGCTACCTGTGTTTAGTAAACTCTGTGTACTTAGTTAGCACATATAAATGAAGGTTTTTGACAGGAATTTTTTTTTTTTCACTATACATTAGACTTCCCGTGTGGCACTTGAAATGTTTGTCAATTATTAACACATTTAATTAATTAAAACGCATAGATCAGTAAATTCCATCCGCATATACATGATTCGGTTTATAAATAATTCATCATTCCAGCACTGAGAATAAAAGTAGGATAATCATGCCGCCAGCGCCACTACCATCACTCCTTAAAAAAAATGATATACCCAGCTCATATTGATCTCTCATCATATATTTAAAAGCTTTAATTAATACATCTGTAAATTTTTGGATCCTTCCCTCAACACTGTTGACAGCGTTTGTCTAATACATGTATAAACATTAGCGTTTAATAGCGTTTTGATTGAATTCAATCTACATCTATACCGTAGAAAGTCCTCAGAAATTCTTCTCATATTACTAATAATAAGACACACTTGCTGTCATGAAAGTTAAACAAAGTATGTAATCTATCATTATTACTGTGCAGCCAGGTGTTGTTAATCAATCGCGGGCATTCGCGGCTAGTTATCATGACGCTTTGGCGATCACAGCCCTCCACAACGTAGATTTAATTGAAACCAGAATTTTTTTTTTCTTTCTTCCATATTAACACATTGATTATTTCATTCAAAAAGCATCCGTAATATTAACGAGATATAATTTAAATGTTGGTTAATCCGGAAATTTTTGCTCTGACTATTAGTGAACAGGTACAGTCGTGGATGTCCGGTACCAACAGTGCCGAGTACAGTCGCGGATGTAGGCTGACAGACACTGATGTCTACAAGACCAACTTTTGCTGGTGGTGTTAAATTGGTAACACTGGGATGCCAGTGGTCAGTTACCACTTCTTTGAAAAGATGAGATCCACTCCTTCAGGTTTTATTCAAACTGTACGAATATCTAATTCGTCCGAACGAATTTCTAATTTGTCCGAACAAATAGAAATATTTTTTTTACCTGGCCCTCCAGCGGCGCCGTAAAAACGAAACCTCGTCTTATTTAACTTTTGGCAAGTCCTTTGTCGCCAAAAACAAGGTGCAAATCATTCTACATTTATCTAAAGGACTTTCCTAGAATGACGCAAAACTATGTAACTTTTTTTATCCAACATACGACTGAGTCAACCATTCTTATTGATCCCATTGTTTATATTATGACGTCACAAACACGAGGCAAAATATTATGTACAACATGCTATTTATAGCGCATGGATGCGTGCTGAGCTTCATTTGGTTAAAGAGATACAGTGATAGGACGCGACCTTTCTGATTGCCCCTTTACCATGTTGGCATTATTGTTCATAAAAGTCACTTTAAATCAAATTTTATTATCATAACAACTACATGTGTATGTATACGTGGCTGATACTTTATATTGTATACTAGTTATGCATTAAGTAATCAACAACAACTTTTACATTACATCAGTACGTTTAAATAAAAGAAAATAGTGTATCATTTTTAAATTTTTACCGGAATGTAATAACGTGTCATTCTTTTGATAAAATTCCTTAGAGCGACATGGACAACAGTTTTAGCTAAACATTTTAAGATTTATTTTTCAATATCTTTATGTTTACAAATACTAAACCAATTTTTTATGATAATTAAAAATTTGAATTTCAGTTGTCGAGATACAAGACAGATTTAGAGCTCAAAACATTTTTGATGCAAACAAGGCCCGTTCCATGTTTTGGTTTACATAGGTTTAATATACTGATTTATGTTCTTTCAAAGCAGATTGTTTCAATAAAATAAAGAAGTTCATTCTAAATACGATTTGTCAGTTTGTTGTGATTTGCTGCATATTGTTTTGTTATAAATATGACATTTTCTTTATGTAAACAAAACCAAGAAACGAGCCTTGTTTACATTTTGATGAATTTTAAGTTCAGCATCTCCTTTGTATATGAACAAATGATGTTAAAATATTTGCTGATCATTTGATTTGCTTTAATTAGGAATTGTAAACATTAAAATTGTTTTGTTTTTTTTAAATCAGTTGAAACTGTGTTCATAAAGCCAAAAGTACATTATATATTTTATCGAGTATCCATCATAATAAAAGTTTTTATAATGATACATAAATACTTGATACTGTAAGTCGTTTTAACTCCACGGTGTTAAAATTTCACGATATCTGAAAAAGTAGCAATTGAAATAGTTTTAATTTCTCGCTGCAAGAAATAGATTCAAAATTTCGTGTAAACATTAAAACTCTTTTAAAAAATTATCATAACATTTACGATGGGTTTAATTTCGTGGAAAAATGATATATCGCAAGCATAGCGAAATTAAAACCATCGCGATTATTTGCCAATCTACAGTATTCTCAGGAACTCAAGCATCTTTTTACATGTTGTCAATGATTTATTATTGAAAAAAATATTTTTGCGGATGAAATGTTGCGCAATTTTGCTAAAAAAAAATATTTACAGTAAAAGTTTCCAAACTTACCGTATCAACTTCAGAGTAGGTGTGTGTACAATCAAAATGTTTTTAACAAAATACTTTTTCAAATGACCAATGACAAGGTAAGTTTTTATGTTGCTGATTTTGGTAAAATTCCGTGATTTCAAGATTTCTAAAAGTTCTTATGGAATATTTCAGAATCCACACCTGATTTAAACCACCTCTCGAATATATTGTTGCACAGTACTCCTTCACTACTGTTAATACTATAGTGAGGAGTAAAGAGGCTACAGTGTACTTTATAAGGATTTTATGAAGGTTCGGAATCAAATAAAGATAAGCTGATTCAAATTCATTAATTTTGTTTGTTGGGAAAATTGAAAATATTCAAAACGGACATATCATTTTGAAGAATTACCTCCATAGAAAGGAGATTGCTTTCGTTTTAAATTGGATTACAATTCTAAAATTAAATCCTTTAGTTCCTCTAAATTACAAATGAAATAATGAGTCTTTCAAACAAAGACAATGCTGCGATCAGCTTCGTCAGCAGGGACCAGTACTTACTGATCGTGTAATCTATATAATTCTTTTTTTCACTTCTGAATGATTAAACACATAAGGATATAAATCAATGGGTCCATCTGTACAAGGAACCACGATAATTAGACAATTTTTGAAAACCTTGGTGTGGTTGAAGATATAGGGGACTCGTTTTTCCCGTCTTCTAAAAGGTCAACATCTCTTCGCCCCCTCATATAGATGGCATTTTATTTGTAATAATCTAGTAGACCTTTTTTTAGCAGAAATAAGATTTTCCTGACAATAACGAACCGATATTTTACTCCAGTTATTGCCAAATGTTTAATTATCATTTGTCACAGTTGTTTGACCTCCAAGACGTCTTTTTAAAATGAAGTATTCTAAATGTTTACTTATCCAAAAGTAGATAATTTGAGACTTATTTTTAAATATTTTACAGTCATAACTAAAGTTTCCATTTAAACTCTTAATCTTTGACTTGTATTGTCCACTTTTCTCAATCGCCAGAATATAAAAAAATATATTTGATGTTAAACATTGACAGATCAGAGAATTTTGAATTTCTAAGTCATTTAAATCAATTTTTCACGTCATTAAAGTCAAACATTGTTATTTTTCAAATTTCCAAAGTACTAGTGTGATTATAGTTAATAAGATTGCTTAATGTATGTTAGGATTGCATGTCTCCTAGAATAATATTATTGCATTCATCAAAATGATAAGGTATGCCTTACAAAAACATATCGGTAGAGAAAGATTTCATGAATATTTATTATTGATAGACCTTTACTGACAAAACAAACAGTTTGTAACTGACAAAAAAGAACGCAATAAAATTAATGTTTCTAATGTTAAGGAAATTACACTTGAGTGATTTAACAGAAAATAAATTAGACATATATCTCATCGAATAGATTTGATTCCTTTTCAACAAGGATCGCTCATAATTCATTATGATGCTATCTATGTCGTTTTCATGGTCTCCGACTCCAAATGAATTGATGGGTAAACAATGTCCTAAAAGTCTGAGCATGAGAAAAAAACCAACTCGATCATGTCACGGTGGCCTATCGGGCTATTACATAGCTCATAAGCCTTTTATTATTTATTGTTTTTCCTCGTTTCGTGTGTCTTTGGTTGATGACGTGATTCCGGTCAGAGATGGTGATTAATGATTCAAGTTATTTGTCCTGAGAGGTGAATTATCAGCTTGTTGAACAACAAGTGTTAACTTAATAAGAAAGGTTTACATTTGCTTAGTATTCGTTTTTCGTTTCATTACAATGAGGAAAGCGGTCGTAGGTTATTCAATTACCGTTATTTTATTGATGTATATGGATTTTCAAAAATGTAAGTTTTTTAAACTTTTCTTCTTAATTTTAATTTGTAAATATAAATTTTCCATTTACACAAATATTTACATTTTTTTTAGGTATACTTTATTTTTTTTTTTTATTTTGTCTGATGACAAATAGCTGTGTTAAAATTTTAAAAGTGAGGTCTGATATTGACGCATATGATATCTTTTAAGGTGATGGTACAATTCTGAAGAATAAATCAAAAATTTCATGGAACGATATTATAAAGCCAAATTACAATACCGGGAAAATATCACCCTGGAATTCAAATGAAAGCATCCAGAAACAACATTCAAACCAAAACTCAGCTGCGTCGAATGGAGGTGTAGTGCAGCAGATGGGCAAGAAAACCTCGAAACTTCAGAATAACAATAAAAGTCAGCAAGAACAGGATATTATGGTTCCATCAAAATCAATGAAAGAGCAAAACAAAATTCATGTACAACTAGAAAAACCACCACAGGACAATATTTTTACTTCGTTTCTGAAGACATTTTTTCCTTGGAATTTCGATGCATATTACAGTGACCACACTACAATGAAACCAACACACGAATATCAATATACAGATCATGATCTATACTATTATTACAACCCTGATTTCTATTTAGCCACGGTGAATCCAACGCCATTTTACGATTATTCTACCAAAAAGAAACTGGACATTTCAAGTTTTAACGAAGAACTAGAATACGAAGGAGAAGAAATGACTACTGTTTCTGGAGCAACCAGATCTTCGGCGGGAGGCAAAGAGATAGAGGCAGAAGACATTACAACAGTCGCTACTGTAACTTCAACAGACAAACCAGCGGAAAACGAAACAGAGGCTGAAGATATTACTACACCAAAATCTAGAGCATCGGCTGTAAATAATAAAGTAGCATCAACAACAGAAAAATCTGCCACTGAAGGCGTAGAACTTGAGGATCGGACAACACCTTCTTCAGCAGGAAAGACTAAACAAAAAATAACAGCCGCGCCCAGGAAACAACTCAGTGTATTTAAGACTAATTCAAATGGAGGTGTTAAGGTTATGTTAAACAGACCGAGTAAGAGGTTTCCTCCAAAATATCGCTTCCCTAAATATAAGCAACGTTACCAAGTTCCTGTGCTAAAAGAAATAAATTCTGGTCCTAAATTCATGACTAGAATACCGAAAAAAATTGGACCGATTTATAGCAATGTACAGAATCAATTAAAGGCCAATAAGATCAAATATAAAATAGTCCATAAATCCACGAGAGTAAGTCCAGTTATAAAGTCTTTTGTAGTAAATCATGCAGTGCCAAAACAGCGTTCTCACATACAACGATTACCAAACAGAAAAATCTCAGTAGTCCATAAAACAGAGGGACGACATAATTTGCACCTGCAAAAACCTATTAATTTAGGACGCAGTGAGAGCCAGGGATGTAGAAAACGACAGAAATGTCCGTCTAATCTCCGGCCTGTGTGTGGAACTGATGGATTGTCCTACAGGAATGAATGCGTGCTTAAATCAGTCGCTTGTGTGTAAGTAACAGTACTTAAGGTTCACTTTTTCAATAGTGTGTTTTTGCTTATTTTTTCTTCCCTCAAAGTTACTCTCATCAGTGTATTTTAACACTTCGCACATAAATGAAATCATTTTTCAGTAATTAGAATGTCTTTTCGTTGTAAATACATATAAGCAAGCCTTATGTAAGTGAGATCTCAATAATGTTAGAACCATTTAGCTTGAAAAGTAAATGTGCTCAAATTATTGTCGGTGGTCAAAGTATCTATCTCATGCTGTACGCTGAAATTTGGGCTGATGCCAGTTTAAAAGCATGATAAAAATGCATCTCTATCTAAAGATATTTGTGCTCAGATATACATGTAAAAGCTTATCGAAATTAACTGTTCCCTAAAAAATATGTCACGCGTTTTGGTATGCGAGTGTTACATGTACATGTGTATAGAGACACGTACCTATAAACTGACATAGGGTCTTTTGATCTCATGTTTAAACTTACTCTTTATCGATGATTTACATCGACAGCTTTTATTTCAAGTTTAGACAGATCACAACTGACCACATCTAAAACAAAAGACAACCTTATATATATTAATTTCACTGATTGATGAAATTTATTATTACAAGCTTTGACGAACTTCTTTGTTTGCTTTCTGAATGTTCCTAAAAATCGAATATGTAAAATTTGGCTTTGCATGCATTCATGCAAAGAGGTTACATATTCCTGCTGAAAAACTCCTTATGGTCTATTTAACAAAGTGAATTTTTACGTAATTGTTTATAACTGTATGAGGAACTACAGTTGACTTTTTTTTAATTTTTAAATACGTTAAGATTTCTCTCCTCTAAAGAAAAATAATCTTATTTTTCAATTAAAAAAAAATGTTATTTTGTTAAGATTTTTTTCAGAAAAAAAATCGTTCAATTTTGGACGTTTTTGTGTATTTGTACTGTTTTTGAGTCACTTCTTTTTTGAAAAGAAAGAGAATTTATTTAGACATACTTCTTCAAAGAAAATTATTTATTTATTCATTTATTTTTGAAAGTAGAAGAATTTATTAAGACCTACTATTTAAGAGAAAATTATTTATTTTGAAAAGTAGACGAATTTCTTTAAACCTACTATCTTAATAGAAAATTATTTTAATTACTTGTATATTTTTAGTTAAAAACTTAAAAGAATTTTTTGATTTATTCCGTTATTTTATATTTCAGGAGAGGTGGACAGAACAAACTCAGAATCAGACATAAAGGTATATGTTGAATCTAAAGCTGTTAGATGATTGTGGAACACGCTGATTCAACTGACAATCTCCTTAGTCCTTCCCCTGGGACATTGTCCACCAGCGTTGAGAGGCATCGAGATTTTTCTTGAGAAATATCAGTGGAAGAGAGAGAGTGCATATATGTGATATGGATGCTTGTACAACTGGCGTATATATATATTCTCTTCGTTCATAAAGACTAAAAGAGACATGCAATTTCTATCCAATGATTCAAATTATAGTTATGCACAATACCTTTAAAACGACATCAAACAGGGAGAAATTTAAGCACTGTGCATATATATTCAGTATGGAATTGGAAAGCATCACAAGGTCACGAATATTCTGCTGCGCGGATTCTGTTGACTTTTGCTTTTCCGAGTTGGGCCATATTGGTTCTTATATTGATTTTACTCTTTAGACTGATCTTCAGTTTGATATGATTTGTTTTATTTCAATAAAACATTGCTTTTACTTATTAAAATGCACTTATTAACGTTTCATTTTTAAATGTTTGATGAAAATAAAAAGCTTCATATAGGGAATTATATAACAGGCAAAAATAAGAAACCGTTCCAGATCTTTTAATTTACAAACTGTACATATAATCAATTATTGTCCTTAAGTCCACTGTATTCTATCAGTGTAACACCGAACTTTTTTTTAAAATGTGAATTCATGTACACAAATCATTATTCGCACTATTCATTCGCAATTCTCTTGTAAATACGATTTACTCGTTTATACATCAACGAAGATTAATTTTGGTACTGAGAGAAAATTCCAAAAATGCATATCAACAACATAATTCCAAAAATGCATATCAACAATACTATATGAATATAATTTGCATCTTGAAATATTCTATGGTAAAAGAGGGTCGAAAAAGTCTTAGCATATCGCAAATTAAAGTTGGTTTACAATATCTAGCGTTTCTAATAGTAAAAAAGTATACGGATTGATTTCAAGAACAGTATCATCCAGTTTCGGTTCATCACACTACTCTTGATACAATAGTTTTAATAAAATTTTATGCTAAGTTATTTAAGTCACTTGTAACCATTCCTCCGAATCCCATTAAGAAAGACTACTGAAAAAGTGTCTTTAAAAAATGCCAAAAAGTTGTTTTTTTTTTTTTTTGTTTTGTTTTTTTATACATCTGACAGGACCCTCTCTATTATTATAAAGAGTTTATTTGTTTATGCATGTGAATCAAAACGGTGACGATAATAAACAGTTATCGATCTTTAAAAAAATCTTTAGTCAATATAAAACTGTGAAAAGGACATATTTACGGACCCCAGGAGATTCAAGCAGTGGGATCAGGTGACTTTGGGGAGTAAGCATCCCCTGTTGATCACTTCTGCGGTGAGCCCTATGAACTGATCAGGTAGACTGAATTTTCTGTAGTCGAATTCAGTATAAAAACGAAGGCCTGATAATTAATATGAAACAAGTGATCCAAAATACATCTCAATGATACATGTATGTTATATTTGCTAACAAGATCATTATATGGACCATAGAATTTACAAAATGCTGGCTTCAAAGGAGGTTGTTGAAATCCCTGTCATATCAATTTTTCTGTCAGTAATCTTCCTTGGTAAAAACTCATTGTACTCAGGACATGCCCTTGAGTATCGAATGAGTAAAAAGATGAAATACCATATGCAGGTAATAGCGGAATATTACGTCATAAATAAGGAAAGTTGACGATGGAAAACTTGATTCAGTAATTATCTCCTTTGTCATACAGTTTAGTTCTCAGTTAGCCCTTATCGTTTATAGTCAGTAAAAAATCCAAATATGAAATGGATGTGAGAGACTCTGTGGTGTCTTATTTCAAGTTCAAAGGTATATATCGAGTCAACATATAAATGATAGTAACTATTGTTAATGGATAATTAAATGCATCGTCGATATATGTAAATGTCGAGTTGAAGGCCACTGCAAGTGTTTTGTCCTGTCGTGCAGAAGTTTCTGGGAAAAAAAAGTCTGCTTCATAGGATTTTAAAAACAGGTCAGCCAATAAAGGAGCACAATTAGTGCCTATAGAAATTCCAACAACTTGTTGGTAGACCTGTACTCATAAGACTACATTAATATTGTCAAAGGGAATCTCCAGCATCCTTTTAATACAAACTTCAGAGTACATACACTTGTGTTTAGAATCAGAATAACCTTTAATGCAGTTGACCCTGCAAAATTACTCTGTAAAGTTTTTTCTCATTAATTTTTAAAAATCCCATCCTTGGAATGTGAACTGTAACTATAAGTTGAATTTCAGAAGTAGAATTGAAACCAAGCTCTAAAATACAATTATAACAATGAGCCTTTCAAATAAAGACGATATTGTAACAAGACTTGTCGGCTGAAACCGTAACATATCGTTTGTGTACTCTTGTCTTGCTAGACTTTTAAATCGAGATTTCAAATGCAATTTAAATTTTAAAAACATCTATATTTATATTTAAGACAAAAAGAATTCAAAAAACCCTATATTTCTTAGAATTCAAATAATGTAGGCAAATCCTTTCATATTCTCTGAATATTTTTACTTTTTCATTTATAAACAATGACGCAACTTTCCATTGTTTCAATTTTTATAGAAACTTCCTGTTTTATAAAACTATTCTATTTTCCTTTCATGAATTATCTATAGGGGCACTATAAAGATATTAAATATTACATTAAGTGCACTTCTAAATAATTTATCGATATTTTTTTCTCCGCAGAGGCTTTATTGACCGAGGTTTCGCTTTAAGATGGACTTTTTTGTTTTTTGGACTTGTAAGACATATGTAGAACAAATCAATTCTTTACTACATTTTAGCCAAGCACTTGTCTCTCAGCATGTAGAAAGTAAACGTCGCCATGGCAGCACCTTTTTAAAGATACTTCTTACGAAACAGAAATTATATTTGTAAATATAACTATAAACTCTGATGCATAAAAGTTAATACATAGTTTTTTAGATGAGATGTCGTCAAGGTTCTTCATCAATTTTGCTCTTTCGGTGTCTTTCGTTTCTTTTTCAATAAAGGTAAATATTTTCACTTAAATATTTCCAACATAATTATAAAATTATTCTTTCCCTTTTCTTACCTTATTTTGTAATATCAAAGAATGCCTTTCACAGCGTCGGTAGATTTGATTTGTTTTTATCAGTTCTGTGTTTTAACTTTTGATGTTTTTTGCTGACATCATCATGCTTTTCATTAATGGCTACAAGTTTAAAATTTAAAAATTAATTTAATTAAGTATTAAAGTAATTTTAAGATGCACTAAGGAATGAAAGCTGATTGTGCCAAACAATACATTTCCTATGGGAATTCTTTTTGCAAAATCTAGTATCAGTTAAAATTATAGTTTGGTGAAGAAAAAAAATGAAGTTAATTAATAAACGAATACAATCATGTATCCTGAAATCACTGCTCAATATTCTATGAAGAGCAAAAATAGTAAAGAATTCATACTACGAGGATTGGTGCGATAAAATTAATACTACTGAGTGTACATGACAGATGTCATTTCAAAAGGATGTATTAAAATTTTTAAAAGAATTTACTTGGAGGAAAGAACTACATCTCGAGAAAAAAATCACCACGTTTAAAAATCAAAGTTCATTGGTAATTTTTCCTGCATGCACTTTTTTAATTTGCATTATAAATCTAAATTTTATTATTTGCATCTGTAAAAATTAACCTCAAAATTGGCTTACATTAAACATTATTTTTTCCGCTAGAGTACATAATTTGGCATGAGTTTTGGCCTAGATTTTTAAGTCCTTCGTCCTTCGTCTGTCCCTAAATTAAATTTTGACACTTTGATATATTATGATCGAAGGAATAAATTTAGAAATGATTGTTTTGGGGGCAACCCTGTCCTACAATTGGAATTCACACCCCAAAAAAATTGAATGTTGAAAGCAGGCCAGAATAGCTCGCATGGTATCATGGGTATTGCCGTTGACTATTTACACTGTTTTTTTTAAGAGTCGTGGTTCGAATTCACATCGTATCACCTTTCTTTTAGGAAATTCTTGACTTTTCAAAGTTTTTTTTAATAGGGAATGTGAATTTTTCATGCATGTTCATTCATGATTTAAAAGACATTAAAAAGAAAGCGAATATAACATTACCACGGTCAAATACGTTTATATTTAGTCAATTTATCATGAAATGCAGTAGATATAATTATACGATTACCCGGCGCTATCAACGTTGAATGTTATGACGTTCGACAGCGTCACTGCTTAGAACTTTGGCATTTTCAATTTAAAAAATGATCGATTGTAGAGCTCCAATCTGTCAAATTTTCTTCTCCGTATGTATAAAAGTGTAAGACAATGCGGCTTCAATTTCTTAACGATCAGTAAAAAAATATTTTAAAAAAAAACAGAAAAACTTAACAGTATTTCAGAATACCTGCACTTTATTTCAGAAATTTAAAAAATCTACCCATTTTGTTTGCTGTTTCTTATCCCTAATGCAAATTTTGGATCGAAGGACGCTGCCAATAATTATCAGTAAGACGTCTTATCCTAATGCTGTATCCTTTTAAATTTCTAAGTATATACTTATTAGCTTTCAATGTAAAGATGTTCCCTCTTTCTGTTTAAAACGCATGTCAACATTGTTAAATACGAATATGGAACAATATTAAATTATGCAAGTTAGATACTTTTTTAAAAAGTCTTCTTCTACGATCTAGCTGTGATAAATCCCGAAAACTAGACTTATGACAAGCCCTTTCACTATTTATTCATGAAATAAAATTTTCTTTCAATAAGAGAAATATCTTTATAAGCTAGAGAGATCTCTCTTTATGCGTGAGAGATATCTCTAAAAGTTAAAGAGATATCTCTTCAACAAGGTTAAAAGAGATATCTTTCTTAGTTAGAGAGATATCCCTTTAGATTTTCAGACAGAGATATCAAAAGGGCTTACCATATAGACTGCATATTTCAATGCTTTGAAAAATAAGCAGATCTCTGAATATAACTACTGTACAACATAATATAGTACAGTAAGCAAGAGTTTCCTTCGTCGACTCAACTTCCTTGTGAAGGCATCATTTGACAGGCTGGGGGGGGGGGGGGTCCAATGGGTCATGTGCTAAAATGTTGGTCTAGGATTTGCAGAGTTTTTACATGTTAATAAATCATTGAATATATACCGAATACAATTTTACAATTTTTTTATAAGCAAATCTGGATGTAACTTGTCCGCCTGCCTGGACACAGCACCCAACCTACAAGAATCTGTGTTTCCGAGTGGGGACCAAACAAGTGAAGTACAAATCCACCGATAAGGAATGTGACCTCCTGTTAACTGGGGCCGTAGTGGCCAGTGTCTACAACGTGGGTATCCATAAATTCCTCACAGAGTCCGGATTGCTGTCAGAGTAAGTTCTGTCAATTTGCTGAAAATGTTCGTTACTCTCTGTATGTATGATATATGTTATAGAAACCACCATCTACTTCCTCGGATGTATCAAATTTTGTTACAATTTACATTTGTTATAAGAAAAGCAGAATTAATATTAGAACATGAAATAAATGATAACATACATAATAAGCACACACAAAAGCGGATGAATCTCTCATCAACTAAATAGCTATAGCAATAAAATTACGCTCTTGGAATCAAGCATATAGGTAAATTGTCTAAATTATTCACTAATTTAGTGTGGCGCAAAATATGCAAAAGTATAAAGGCGCTAAATTATAACTGTCGCTAAATAAGTATGTTTACATTATAACAAGTTTTTACATAACATATTAACATATTTTTCTAAAAGATATTAAAATAAAGATAGTATTTCCGAAACAATATTCATCTCAACATGCATATCTAATACATTTCTCACAGTTTTTTTTTCTCAAACATGACTTTGAAATTTCAGGAGCCTAGAGTACTATACCGGCCTAGTGAAGGTGGGGTGGTCCTATGTATTTTCTAAGCTGAACAATGAACCCCTGGGGGCATGGAATGAGTGGGGGCCCATCACCTGGAACAAATGCTCTCTGTATGATTACACATCTGGCGCATGGCGTTGGAAGACAAACAACTGTAATGTGGCCCAGTTTTTTATATGCCAATACACTGTTCCTACACCAGGTAAATATGATAATGTCTAAGATTGTCGAGTTGACTCTGGTTCTTTGTTTAATTATTGATAATGGAAAGCTTGGTAATGTTTTAGAAGTTATTGCGACTTACCGCATTTTTTTTCTTTATTAGATTTCAGTTTGTAGTCTTTTTACGTCTCAAATTACGTATATATGTCTTTGCATAAATAAATGTATATCATTCCCCCATATTCGAAGATTCAGGGATACATGTAATACATATAGTTTTTGTACTGTTTGTCTGTTTATTTGTTAGTTTGTCCGCAAAAACTTTAACATTGTCCATAACTTTTTAAGCGGGTGCACGGGGCTATGACTTTCATATTTCACATTGTGACAAGACCTTTCTTTGGGTACCACAAATTTACCTTTTGACCTTGACCTTCTCAAGTTTGCCTGAATTTTACGAAAAATTACCAAAACTTTGACCTTGGCCATAACTTTTGAAAAGTTAAGGCTTTCACACTTCACATGTGAACTTGTATTCCTTATGAAAAGTCCTTTCTTTGGGTACCTCCAAATTTGACCTTTTGACCTTGACCTTATAGTTTGGCCCAAAAAAATTAACTTTGGCCATAACTTTTGAACAGGTAGTATTCGGCCTTTAATATTGTACAGGCTCATTACTTAGGACAAGACCTTCCCTTGAATATCAACAATTTTGACCTTTTGCTTTGGAGTCTGATTTGCATTTGAGAAACTTCAACCCTTACCACAGGCTTTCATACGGGACATATCAGTGTTTCACAAAATCATCTTGCTTCTTGTAATAACAGGGTATACGCCTGTTGTGTTGGTGGACGGCAGCCTTATGTCCGGACGGGCGGAGATCTTCAAGGATGACATGTGGGGGACGTTTCAAGATTCTGCCAACTCGGGGACAGGGGTTGAAATCTGTGAAGCTATGGGTTACGGGTAAGAATCAAGCCTATTAGTTTTGACGAGGGCATTGTATAGTGTTACCCTGAAAATATATATTAAAAAGACAAAGTTAAATTGTGGAAAATCGTAAGAAAATAATGTACATGTTTAAGACATGTGGGTTTTTTTTCTATTTCATGAGGCACATGATTTACACAAAAAATATTTATTTACCGCAAACAAGCATCATGATTCAAGATGCAAAATGTCTCCCTTTCCGAACTTCCCAGATTTGCTGAAAATGTCTATAACAGTAAAGAGGATAATGAAGACGGTTCATCTCGATATTTGTTCCCCTAGACCTACAAGGACTACATATTGAAACCTATATATTTTACAATAGGTATATTTATCCTCTCTTAATACATTAAATTAAAATGTTACCAACATATATAGTAAGAAAAGTTAATAAAACTAGAGGTACTGTGAGCAATGAGCTCACTAAATGATATCCCCCGCCTCCCATATGAATATAATGGCAGTGTCCATGTTTTGCTGTGGGAAATCCAAAATATGTGTCGGATCAAAAAGTAAAATAGGAGGTGCACAATGCAATATGTAATGAAGATTCTGTGAAAGTTTCATTAAATTTCCTTCAGTGGTATGAGAGGAGTTGCGGATAAGAGATGGGTACCCCAAAGCGTAACAGACGGACGGACGGAAATACCGATTACTATATACCCTCCCACTTTTCAAGCGGGGGGTATCAAAATCCTCATTCTTTAACAAATTATCAAAGTTTTTTTAAAGTTATTAGTGATAGTTTCTGATTTATTTATGTATACTTGTATCAGCTGTTCCATGGGTGTTCTAGTAATTTTCCCTGATTAATATATCCAGATTAACCACAATTATATTACCTTACTCATTAACAGCTAGTTTGTTGGTTTGATGGTTATTTGACCATGTGGTTAACCATGACCGTGATCTGTTGGCTCAATAACGATGTTAAGGAGTGAACTTTCAAAACAATTGGTGTTTGTGTTTTATAGGTTCGTGGACACTCAGAATTGCGCAGGTGTGACTTGTGGCACCGGCAAAGTATGGTACGAGAGGGTTAACTGCGCTTCAGGGGCGGCCGTGTCTTTAACTGATTGTTTGACCGGATTGACTCCGTCCGATTCCGATGACCATTCTAAGGACCTGGTTGTCCAGTGCAAAGGTAATATACATCTTGTAATGACCTAAAAATGTATCTACTTGGGTCACTAAGGAACACACTTGTAGTCAGAATGTCAGACAGGGAAATATAAGTCATGTTAGACAATAATTAGGAGAATCATAAAACACATTGGTTCGATTAGAGAATTCAAGCACAGCTAATTTATAGAAACACACAATGTCCATTACTTCTAAGACCTACATATATATATATATATATATATATATATATATATATATATATATATATATATATATATATATATATATATATATATATTATATAAAGATGGAGCTCCTGGAAATTAAAAATATTTGTAGGACTCCAAAGTGCGATGGGACTCCAAAGTCCGATGGTCACGCCAAAGTCCGATGGTCTGCGCCAAATCCCGATGGTTTGACACGCCAAAGTCCGATGGCGCAGAAAAACAATTAACGTTTATGACGTCACAGTACTACTGCGCAAAAATGCAATGCCACGCCATGCCAAAAAATAAATACAAAATATCTTAAATACAAAGACTAACCCTCGTCTTTTGGATGTAGGTGCGAAACTTAGACTTATCAGTCGAGCAATGAGTATCAACTCTAACCTAAATATCATAGGTTGGTGCTGGACTAATCTAAATCAGTCCTATAATGTGCGAGGACTAGCCCTAAAATTACTCGGCCGGGTTCGAAGAAACACATTAGTGTTCAAGGATTAACCCTTATCACTCGAATGATGTACGAGGACTAACCCTTATACCTCTGGTGGGTGAAAACAAAAAGCAATATCAGTAAAAATGTATGCGAGACGAATACTAAATCAATGGATTTTGAATGCAGGATAACGTCATGACGTCGGACTAGTGTGACGTCATAAACGTCGATTGTTCCTCCGCACCATCGGACTTTGGCGTGTCAGACCATCGCACTTTAGCGTCGCGCGTCTCATAGGAAACGAGCCATCGGACTTTGGCGTGACCATCGTACTTTGGCTTCCGAAAAGACGGCGACCCATCGGGGTTTGGCGCAGACCATCGGGGTTTGGCGAGACCATCGGACTTTGGCGTCACCATCGGACTTTGGAGTCTTACATATTTATCTATATGTATTTATGCCACAGGCACCTTACGTTACTTATTTTTCTTTTAAAAGTACTTGGACACAGATTTGAAGTTATAATTTTCTCTATAATATTACGACTTACATATTTAAATAGCATTTCACACAGAAATTAATTAAAAATCTTATTCCGTTTAAAAGGTATTGAAATTTCAAATTTTTTGGCGGGTTTGATTGACATACCGCTGTACTCTCACAAATTTAATTTTATTCTTAATCCATAGGAAAAGTGGCCATCTCGTTTTGTATAAATGAAAAATATTAATACTATAATCCAGAAAATTCAGAGTAGACACGTTCGAAAGCAAAACAAACACACAATATATTGTCAGTCCGTGCAGTTGTGGTACGCAGACTGTGACGATTGAACGCACCCGGTGAATTCTAAATATAAACAATAACAGAACTTGAGCCCTGTTTACAAAAACTGTGTACGTAACACGAGTGTGCTCGATTTGCTAAACTCTGCACGCATCTCTTAGTTCGGAATGACGAAACTTGTGAGGGTTTTTTGCTTTCTAACATTTCTACTCTGAATAAAATTATTTTTCTTGATAAAAGTTTTAATATTTCTCATTAAAACACACCAAAATTGCCACTTTTCCTAAGGATTAAGAATAAAGTTTGTGAAACTGCAAGGATGTGTCAATCAAACCCGCCAAAAAATTTAAAAGTTTTACTGACTTTTAAACGAAATAAGATTTTTAATTAATTTTTGTGTTAAATGCTATTAAAATATATAATTCGTGATATTATACAGAAAAAATGAGAAAATATTAACTTTAAATCTGTGTCCAAGTACCTTTAATAAAAAAAATATACCCTTACCTTATGATAAACCAAGGTCCCCATCGGCGCCATCTTGAATTTTTCTAGGTCGGTCACATCCACTTGTATTTTCGTCTGAAACTCCGTCAAATAAATTCCTGGCAACCATATTCTCTCTTTGGCCAGTCTTTCGAGGTCTAAACTTACGGACTGTGTAACCAGAAGGGCGCATCACATTTGCAAATATTAAAATTCCATCGTCAAACTCGATCTACTGCTTCTGTCAACAATCCGACAAAATCGCATTCGAAGTTTACGTTCGGTTTGAAATTCTTAGGTAGCTAAACACAGTTTCGTATAGAATCCAGGGGGTTTTTTCCCAGAGAGAAGCATGCTGGTTAGGGATTTTCCTGCTATTTATAGGAGTCTAGATGAAAACTGCATCTTTTTAGCTCACCTGAGCCGAAGGCTCAAGTGAGCTTTTCTGATCACATTTTGTCCGGCGTCCGTCTGTCTGTCTGTCTGTCCGTCCGTCTGTCTGTCCGTAAACTTTTCACATTTTCGACTTCTTCTCAAGAACCGGTGGGCCAATTTCAACCAAACTTGCCACAAAGCATCCTTGGGTGAAGGGGATTCAAGTTTGTTCAAATGAAGGGCCACGCCCTTTTCCAAGGGGAGATAATTATGAATTAGTGAAAAATTATTGGCATTTTTAAAAAATCTTCTTCTCAAGAACCACTGGGCTAGGAAAGATGAAACTCATGTGGAATTATCCTCAGGTAGTGTAGATTCAAGTTTGTTCAAATCTTGACCCCCGGGGGTAGGGCGGGGCCACAATGGCCAACCAAAGTTTTACATAGAAATATATAGGAAAATTCTTGAAAAATCTTCTTCTCAAGAATAACAAAACCATGATTGGTCATATTTATATGGAAGCATCCTCAGATAGTGTAGATTCAAGTTTGTTCAAATCATGACCCCCAGGGGTAGGGCAGGGCCACAATGGCCGACCAAAGTTTTACATAGAAATATATAGGAAAATTCTTTAAAAATCTTCTTCTCTAGAATAACAAAGCCATGTTTGGTCATATTTATATGGAAACATCCCTAAGGTAGTGTAGATTCAAGTTTGTTCAAATCATGACCCCTGGGGGTAGGGCAGGGCCAAAATGGCCGACCAAAGTTTTACATAGAAATATATGGGAAAATTCTTTAAAAATCTTCTTCTCAAGAAATACAAAGCCATAATTCATCATATTTATATGGAAGCATCCCCAGGTAGTGTAGATTCAAGTTTGTTCAAATCATGACCCCCGAGGGTAGGGCGGGGCCACAATGACCGACCAAAGTTTTACATAGAAATATATAGAAAAATTCTTGAAAAATCTTCTTCTCAAGAAATACAAAGCCATGATTGATCATATTTATATGGAAGCATCCTCAGGTAGTGCAGATTCAAGTTTGTTCAAATCATGACCCCCAGGGGTAGGGCGGGGCCACAATGGCCGACCAAAGTTTTACATAGAAATATATAGAAAAATTCTTTAAAAATCATCTTCTCAAGAATAGTAAAGCCATGATTGGTCATGGGACTTCTTTTGGATTAAAACTTTTCAATAATAAACCAATATTCTACCTTTTCCAAGCCACAGTGCTCAGGTGAGCGATGTGGCCCATGGGCCTCTTGTTTGTTTTTATTCGCATAAAGTAGAGTCTTTTCTTAATATTTAAAGAAAAAAATGTGCATTCATTTTTAGAGAAAAAAAAATTGTGAGACTTTTTAATAGGGGGAGATAACTCCCAAAACATCCGGTTTTCACATGTGCAGAATTGCATGAGTCAATTATAGTCTGGTCCTGATTTTTAAAAAGAAGGCTATAAATAACTTCTAACGGCAAATAATTATTATTTGGTCCAGCATAGTTTTTTAACCTATTTCGAGTATGGTGATTCCGAGAAAAATATGCTGGCCTTCATGAAAATGACGTTAAAGAGGTCAAAATGGCGATTCAAAATGGCGGACATCCAATTTTTCTAATTTTCTCTTAATGTCGTTCAAAATGGAAAATTAATGAGTGAATATTTAACTGAGTGTAATAAAACTATAAAAATCATAATAGAATGCTAACATTATTAGTTTAACTCGTTTAGTCGTTTCTACACTTAATTCGAAATTTCTCTGATTTTTTGGTTTATTGTTCTGTATTCCGCTTTGATCAGGATTTTACATTTGGAAATATCCATACACTGCATATTTGTATTTTTTCCTCTGCATCTCACTATTCTACAACTGAATGATGGCGCAGCTGTAAGTTAAAAGTCAAAATGGCGATTCAAAATGGCGGATATTCATCTTTTTTTTTTAAACTATTTCTTAATGTCGTTTACATAGTAGAAAGGATTTGTGAATATTTTACTGAGCATAGTACAACTATGTAAAATGACAATAGAACACTAATTTTATCACTTTAAATCGGAAAATTTAGTCGTAAAATTTGAAATGTGTTTATTACCTAGCTCAAAATGGCAATTTAAATGACGTCTTGTACACTCGAATTTCGAAAAATACCCACACTGTTTAATTCTGGTTCGTTTTGCAGAACATAATTTGCAGTTTGTTTTTTTTTTATTCATGAAATAATGTTCAAATATGCAATGAGAGTTGGAGGATATTTTTGTTAATGACTTAGGATTTTTATAACACGGATTTTTGTTTAATTACTTCTATTGTTAAGATAAAGTTTTGACGACAATTCCGATGACATTTTACCTTTCACGTGTCTCACCTTGCTTCTTCATATAAAAAGTTAATAATATCATACAATAATTGCTGTTTTGAGGACAATATAAAAATTAAGCAACCCCAAGAGCAGTATCCCCAGAGCATTAGGGCGAGTTAACATTCAGTTGTTGGAAATTCTTGATCTATTTTTAGTTCAGTGTAGAAAAAAAATAAATGTTTATGTTCATTTGGAAGGTCTAGTGCAACATAACACAGTATGATTTTTAAAATGATTGACCACGACCAATTATAGGGCTAGTAATTGTTACCTCATATAAATCTGAATATATTATAATATCCAAATATAAACATATATATTAAGAATTATCAGTATAATATACATAATCCATAATTTTTCTTGATTGTCCAGCTCTGATTCTGTGTCCCTACATTTGCATTTTGTTTTTTCTCAGTCAAAAATTCAACTGCATTCTCAAATATTTCATTCTGTGAATGGATAATTTTGTATGGAACGGTGTATATAATTTTTTTTAAAATTTGAAATTTACAAAATTTGAAAGAAGATAATGTTTGTGTTCAATCCCCCTCGATTCTTGATACAACCTTACACTATCCTAACAAAGAAGTGTGAATCAAGTTGCCTTGTAAAGTTCTTGAAGTGTTCAAGAAAATTTTGTTGTCAAGAGAAGTGTTGACTAGATCGAAATCAGGAATGGCTTATTGATACGAAAGCTTGTAAGTGATAGGAATAACGAGGAATCTGCAGGCGCTCTTATATTGTATAATTTCACAAATTTTCTCACCAAAATATGCACACAATGTGATTTCAGATGATCAAGTTTGAGAATTTTCTTGCTAATAGAATGACCTTTCTACCCTAAAAGACAACAAATCTATACGAGGTCACAAAATAAAGAGCTTTTATACCCCCCCACCTTGCTTGAAAAGCGGGAGGGTAAAGAGTAATCGGTATTTCCGTCCCTCTGTTACGCTTTGGGGTACCCATCCGCAACTCCTCTCATACCACTGAATGAAATTAGATGAAATGTTCACAATCTTCATTACATATTGCCATTGTGACCTCCTATTTTACTTTTTGATCCGACACATATTTTGGGTTTCCCATAGCAAAACATGGACACTGTCATAATATGCATATGGGAGACCGGGGTATAATTTAGAGCTACTAGTAATTGCTCTCAGTACCTCTAGTTCATTTTGCATATGGTTTTGGAAAACAAAATAGATTTTTCACATTTGAACATAAATGTGTTGTTCCTGGAGTGTTGGTTGATTGATTATATATTGTTTAACGCCGAGTCGGCAATTTTTCAGCTATGTTTCGGCGGACTATCAGTTTAAATAATCGGTTTTTGATGGATTTTGGTTTCTCTGGCGGCCCCTAGTAAGCTTACTCTTTTTCGAACTCCAGAGAAACGATCTTTTACATCCAAGGGGGTTGTCATCCTTGACACAGGGCACCATTCTACTTGAGTGTTGGAAATTCAAAAATTCCGAAGACAAACTGAAATATATGGCAAATAAAGCTGGAATAGAAGATGTCAGGGGGTAATACTACGTTCTTAATAGTGCTAAAAAGCTAGAACAAAGTGTTCGATGAAATCGGACAAGAATTTCTTCAGTTACATGTATGTTTGATGGTGTGTCGAGGGATGTTGAGGTAGAAGTGCGAGTTGATAATCACAGCGATTCGGGAGTGATTTTAGGTGGACGGGGGCTCAAAGTTTTTGGAACACGTACGGTCAAATACAAAGGGGGAAATTAGGAAACTCTTAAGTCAAGTTTGTTTTAACTATTTCCAGAAAAAAATAATCTTTTCAAGTAATTTTTGTTCGTATTTAATGGACTAATCAATATATTATATATACAATGTATATAAAAAAACAAAATGTAATTTATTTTCTGCAAAACGAACCAGAATTAAGCAGTTTCTACGAAATTCGAGTGAATCAGACGTCATTTTGAATCTAAAGGGATAAAATTAGTGTTCTGTTGGCATTTTACATAGCTGTACTACGCTCAGTAAGATATTTACAAATCCTTTCTCCTATGTAAACGACTTTAAGAAATAGTTTTTAAAAAAAAGATGAATATCCGCCATTTTGAATCGCCATTTTGACTTTTAACTTACAGCTGCGCCATCATTCAGTTGTAGAATAGTGAGATGCAGAGGAAAAAATACAAATATGCAGTGTATGGATATTTCCAAATGTAAAATCCTGAACAAAGCGGAATACAGAACAATAGACCAAAAAATCAGAGAAAATTCGAATTGAGTGTAGAAACGACTAAATTTTCTGAGTTAAACTAATAATGTTAGCATTCTATTATGATTTTTATAGTTTTATTACACTCAGTTAGATAATTACACATTATTTCTCCTTTTTGAACGATATTGAGAGAAAATTAGAAGAATTGGATGACCGCCATTTTGAATCGCCATTTTGCCTTCTTTAACGTCATTTTCATGAAGGCCAGTATATTTTTTCGGAATCAGCATACTCGAAATAGGTTAAAAAACTATGCTGGACCAAATAATAATTATTTGCCGTTAGAAGTATTTTTTTCTATAAATCGGACCAGACTATTAGCAAGTAATGTAGCTCTTTCAAGAGGTGGAAAATGTACCCTAAAAGCACACTAAAAGAAAACCTTAGGACTTGTTCTGTGAAATGCACATAACTTATTTTGTTAGATTTTTTCTGTTTTTGTTGAGCAGGGAGGTTAAAAATGCATAGGTGCACTGAAAATGGATGCATAAACAATCCGATATCCCCCATGTTTCAGGTGTCAAATACCCCCTAGTAGTAATTGATGAATGTATTATAGTTAGATATTTATAAAATTCACAATTTTGTCTTTCCATTGATATGCAGAAGTCTATGTAACAAGCCTCCATTTTATTTCTTTATAGGGATCAGTTTTGCTTGTCCCTCACCAAGTAACGTCCTGATAACGTCATACATAAAACTGTGTTTTGCACCCTTAGGGAAAGCCCTTTTTTGATTGGTCAATATATTTGTACGATTTATTTTTAAATATAACCGGCGAAAGTTAGTACTTATTCCAAAAACAATCAATCAGACAATAATACAACGTAATATACAAATCATGTAAGCATTTTATTTCGCTCCAAAATAATTTCGATATAGCTTGATCAAAGCGATTAGGTTTTGTTAATGTCGAAAATTGGCCTGATCATGCTCAAGATGCTGATCAATGAACATTTTCGAGACAAAATATTGAGTCGGTTGTAAGTCCCTACTTACACGCACTAAAAATAGTTAATAACACTTTCATTATCGATGCGCTGTTTGAGCGCTGTCCGTGGAGGAGATTTCAATGACTTTGTCATGTATGTACGCGCGTGTGTGAGAAGGGGGGGGGGGGGTCACACTAAAATTATTCCACGGAGTGTTGAGGTCTGCAATTTTTATTGTCCGAACCATTTTTTTCTTGGTGACAGATTTTACATATACAAGTACATGTTGCACAAGATAATATATAAAATTTGAGTTCAGAAAATAGCCTTTTATCTGTGTGACCCCTCTTCTTTTTCAATTAAGCATATGCCAGGTATATATGTATATATATAACTGGATCGTTTGTAGTCTATTGTTTTTTGGAAACCATTCAATAAACTCTAGATGATTTGTTGTTGTTGTTTTTTATTTCAAGCACCCCCCTTTTATTCAAGATTGTATCTTGTATCGATCTGTGTAGATTAATACAGTATATTTTTTTACAGGTACATTTACAAGAAGTGTTTTATTTTTTCCATTTTGCATTTTTTTTTTCATTTCAATAATCGAAATATTTATTAAAATTTCAAAGTAATTATAATACGCCGCTTTAGATCCACCACAAAACTGACAAATACAGAATTCCCATTAGCATATTGATGTAAACTTCCGGCCCCCATTTGGCGATTTCTCGTTGAAGCAGTAGATCGAGTTTGACGATGGAATTTTAATATTTGCAAATCTGATGCGCCCTTCTGGTTGCACAGTCCGTAAGTTTAGACCTCGAAAGACTGGCCAAAGAGAGAATATGGTTGCAGAGAATTTATTTGACGGAGTTTCAGACGAAAATACAAGTGGATGTGACCGACCTAGAAAAATTCAAGATGGCGCTGATGGGGACCTTGGTTTATTATAAGGTAAGGGTATATGTTTTTATTAAAAGAAAAATCAGTAACGTAAGGTGCCTGTGATTTATGCGAATAAAACAAGTAATATAGACAATCTAAATTGCACATGTAATATAAAAATATTAAAATTAGTCAAACATGATATCGGATTTGGTACTGTTTTGTAGTCACTGATTTAAACTGATTCCAACAAAACTTATTTTGTTGTTTAAAGAAAACAAACCAAAATTTTAAAACAGATTATATGAAAATGGGCGCTCGACATTTTAGCTGAAGTCCAGAAGAATGGTCAATTTAACAGGAACTTTTGTGGATTTTTAGAAGAGAAACGATTACCTTAAATCCAGTGTATACTTAGTTCATTTTCTTCCCAGATATGATTATCCATGTAATTCTTTGAAAGAATCATTGTAAAACCAGAAATTTTCTATCAATTGTCACCAAACTCCTGTGTTTTTCCACAATTTTTTTTTTGTATCAAAATAGAATTTTGGGGTTATGACTATAATTTTAAAATATTCTAATTCAGTAAAAGTTTGTTGGAAGTCAAGCAGATAACTTTGTCTCCAACTCTACTCGAGGTTTCGATGATAATTCTTAACTTGAATAAAACCAACGCGGCATCCTTCTCAAAATTTTACTTCCACTTTTCTATAGTTCAATTTTCAGAACAGCAGCCTTATAAACGCTTATGGTTTGTGTATTTCCATATTTAAAAAACTTCCACTAAAGAAAGTTGTAATAGGATATCTGCCCCAGTGCCTTACCTGAGCTGAAAGCTCAAGTGAAAAAGTGGTTCTCCTTTGGAGAGTTTTATCACATTCAATTTTGTTTCTTTTGAATGTACATAGTAGGTTTGTATTTCAGCTCCGGAGTCAACAATTGCTCCAAGTTCAACTCCAAACCCGATTTCTACATTGCCAATAACTTCTGACAACAACGCCACGGGCTGCAACTGCACTGTGACAGTTTACGTAACACCTCCGCCATCAGAATGCTTGACAGGTAATTTTAAGAATTTTCTAAGAATTATATACATTGTACCATTTGCTACTGAAATGGGACTTTTTTAACAAGTTTTGAAAGCTTTCTGATGATTATGGAAATTCTATGCTCGGCAAAAATCGATTCAAACTTGAAAAAACACAAAAAAATAGTACCCGAAGAAAATGTGTCTGATTACTAATAATTTTCATTTTGACCTATTCTCAGTGTAGATATATACCACAATTTTCGTAAGTCAAAATATGATGCTGCTATTTTCACAGGTAACAATACAATCAACCCTAACACCACCAAGGTCAGCGTTGTCTATGACGCCTTGCCGACCTTCAACGCAAAAGACACCGCCAAATATTCCATGAGGACCCGCTCTGATAACCGACCATCTGCTAAAGCCATGGGGTCCTTCGGCATCATCATTATTATTGGCCTTCTGTCCTTCATTGTGGTGATCGATTTATGGAGTGTGGGCATGCGCACTCTTCAGCTGAGGGGACTTTGTAAGACACTATGTAAGACGAAAAAGACTGTAAACGTGACGTCTAAAACAACTATCAAAGTAGAAAGACTGATCGAACCCAAGAAGAAGGATGCGCATACTTCTGTGTCGACTAAGAAAATCACTACTAACCAAAATGTCAAGACAACTGATGTAGAGAAAAACGTCAGTAATAACCCAGCTGTTACGACATCCAGTGTTGCTACGACATCTAATGTTGCTACGCCGTCCACACAGTACTAGATTTAGCCCAGGCGTGTTGGTCAAGTCGTTCAATCAAATTATTGTGATAACTCGATCGTGGAAACTTTTGAAAGATGTTTCTTTAGGAGCCAAACAGTATGAATTAATCTATCAGGGCCCATTACTACATTTAGCCTAGCTTGTTGGTTGGTCAAGTCGTTCAATAAAATTACTGAACTGTCAGATCCGCAGTGAGTCCTATGTTGATCAAGTACACGGAAATACACGAAAGACTATTAGGATCAATCAAGAGAGAAAAAAAATTAAAGGCGTTATAACGCATTTTGAAAAGGCGTAATAACGCGAAAGAAGGCGTTATAACGCCTTTCCATTCTAAAAGGCGTTATTACGCCTTTGTAAAAGGCGTTATTACGCTTTTGCAAAAGGCGTTATTACGTCTTTCTAAAAGGCGTAATTATGCCTTTTAAAAGGCGTTATTACGCCTTTCCAAAACGCGTTATTACGCCTTTCTAAAAAGTGTAATTACGCCTTTTGAAAAGGCTTATAACGCTTTTCCAAAAGGCATTATTACGCCTTTTTAAAGGCCTTATAACGCCTTTCCAAAACGCGTTATTACGCCTTTCTGAAAAGCGTAATAATGCCTTTTTAAAAGGCGTTATAACGCCTTTCCAAAAGGCATTATTACGTCTTTTTAAACGGCGTAATTACGCCTTTCCAAAAGGCGTTTTACGCCTTTACAAATCGCGTTACATGTATTACGCCTTTCTAAAAAGCGTAATTACGCCTTTTTGAAAGGCGTTATTACGCATTTCCAAAAGGCATTATTACGCCTTCTTTAAAAGGCTTTATTACGCCTTTCCAAATCGCTTTATCACGCCTTTCTAAAACGCGTTATTACGCCTTTCCAAAAGGCATTGTTACGCCTTTTTAAAAGGCGTTATTACGCCTTTCCAAAAGGGTTTTTACGTCTTTCCAAAACGTGTTACGTGTATTATGCCTTTCTAAAAAGCTCAATTACGCCTTTTTCAAAAGGCATTATTACGCCTTTTTAAAAGGGTTATTACGCTTTTCTAAAAGGCGTTATTACGCCTTTTATTTTCAATACATGACTAAGCATATTTAGACAAATCGGGGGGGGGGGGGGGGGGGGGGGGGCAGAAATCTTACCTTTGGGACATTAATTTCACAATTAGATATAGGACTAATTTCCAGACACACCTCTACCAAGGGCCATTGATTTGAATTGCTCATTATGCCCATGCAAATAGTTGCCTATTTTTTTCCAAGAAGAGAGAAAAATATCTTTAAATTGCATGAATTTTAATACATGGCAAGCAAAGCTCCAAGATAATCTGCCTATATCCTAGATCTTCACAAGTAGAGTGTTGCCTTCTCTTAATAGAATGCAAACAGTTGTCAGTGAGATGTACAGGAATATAGAGAACTGCGTAAATAAAGATGGTTTTAATATATTTATAAACATGATAAAATAACGCCTTTCCCTTCTCCTTTTCAAGTAGGCCAGCAGTACGAGTGCGAACGGGGTACCCCCCTCCACACATACACACTTTTTGGGGAAAAGTCTTGCTACAACTTAAATATTATAATTAACTATTGGTTGCTTGGTTCCTGAACATTTTGTTGCAGTATGTAAAACTCTTGCTAATTATTGCATTTAAATAAAGTTTTACCCACGAGTCCCAACCCGCTTTTGGCCAGTAGAGTGGGGGTGGTGGTGGGGGGGGGGGGGGGGGGCTATGAAAAGTACGGGCCTGTTAAATGCAAAATAATGGTTATTCAAAAAGAGTAATAACTCTTTTGAAAATGAGTAATAAAGCCACTTTAAAAGGCATTATAACGCCTTTTTGAAAGGCGTAATAACGCCTTTTTGAAGGCATTATAACGCCTTTTAAAAAGGCGTAATAACATGTTTTGGAATGGAAAGGTGTTATAACGCCTTTTGGAATGGAGAGGCGTAATAACGCTTTTTAGAAAGGCGTTATAACGCCTTTTTAAACCAGAAGTCTCTGTCGAGACTGTAGCTCTACTGGTTTGTACTTAGCATTTTAAAGGAATTTCACAGAAAATTCTATTTTTAGTAACCATGGCAACACTGTTCATTGAAATCAAAAACCGATGCACTATTCTATGTATCTTAGTGTAGTCTACTTGTGTGCCAAGTTATATTGAAATCAGACCAAAATTGTAGGAGGAGTAGCGTTTTAAAGGAATTTCACAGAAAATTCTATTTTTAGTAACCAAGGCAACACTGTTCATTGAAATCAAAAACCGATGCACTATTCTATATATCTTAGTGTAGTCTACTTGTGTGCCAAGTTATACTGAAATCAGACCAAAACTGTAGGAGGAGTAGCGTTTTAAAGGAATTTCACAGAAAATTCTATTTTTAGTAACCATGGCAACACCGTTCATTGAAATCAAAAACCGATGCACAGAATTATGTATCTTAGTGTAGTCTACTTGTGTGTCAAGTTATATTGAAATCAGACAAAAACTGTAGAAGGAGTAGCGTTTGAAAGGAATTTCACAGAAAATTCTATTTTTAGTAACCATGGCAACACCATTCATTGAAATCAAAAACCGATGCACTATTCTATGTATCTTAGTGTAGTCTACTTGTGTGCCAAGTTATATTGAAATCAGACCAAAACTGTAGAAGGAGTAGTGTTTCAAAGGAATTTCACAGAAAATTCTATTTTTAGTAACAATGGCAACACCGTTCAACGAAATTAAAAACCGATGCACTATTCTATGTATCTTAGTGTAGTCTACTTGTGTGCCAAGTTATATTGAAATCAGACCAAAACTGTAGAAGGAGTAGCATTTTAAAGGAATTTCAGAGAAAATTCTATTTTTAGTAACCATGGCAACACCGTTCATTGAAATTAAAAACCGATGCACTATTCTATGTATCTTACTGTAGTCTACTTGTGTGCCAAGTTATATTGAAATCAGACCAAAACTGTAGAAGGAGTAGCATTTTAAAGGAATTTCATAGAAAATTCTATTTTTAGTAACCATGGCAACACCGTTCATCGAAATTAAAAACCGATGCACTATTCTATGTATTTTAGTGTAGTCTACTTGTATGCCAAGTTATATTGAAATCAGACCAAAACTGTAGGAGGAGTAGCGTTTTGAAAAATTGTTTACAGACAGACGGACAGACAGACGGACAGACAGACAGACAGACAGACAGACAGACGGACGGACGCCGGACGCATTACTATCGCATAAGCTCTTCTGGTCTCTGACCAGTAGAGCTAAAAATGTAATAACGCCTTTTTGAATGGAAAGGCGTAATAATGTGTTAGAAAGGCGTTATAACGCCTTTTGGAATGGAAAGGCGTTATAACACCTTTTTCGCGTTATTACGCATTTTAAAAAGGCGTTATAACGCCTTTAAAATTTTTTTTCTCTTTAGATTGATCCTAATAGACTTTCGTATTTTGTAGGCGAAATCAGTATAAAAAAAAGGTATAACAATTGGTATGAAACAAGAAAGCCATAAAAAACCCAATGATATGTTATTTTTACCTCTACTGGTCAGAGACCAGAAGAGCTTATGCGATAGTAATGCGTCCGGCGTCCGTCCGTCTGTCTGTCTTTCTGTCCGTCTGTCTGTAAACAATTTTTCAAAACGCTACTCCTCCTACAATTTTAGTCTGATTTCAATATAACTTGGCATACAAGTAGACTACACTAAGATACATAGAATAGTGCATAGATTTTTGATTTCGATGAACGGTGTTGCCATGGTTACTAAAAATAGAATTTTCTGTGAAATTCTTTTAAAACGCTACTCCTTCTACAGTTTTGGTCTGATTTCAATATAACTTGGCACACAAGTAGACTACACTAAGATACATAGAATATTGCATCGGTTTTTGATTTCGATGAACGGTGTTGCCATGGTTACTAAAAATAGAATTTTCTGTGAAATTCCTTAAAAACGCTACTCCTTCTACAGTTTTTGTCTGATTTCAATATAACTTGGCACAAAAGTAGACTACAGTAAGATACATAGAACAGTGCATCGGTTTTTGATTTCGATGAACGGTGTTGCCATGGTTACTAAAAATAGAATTTTCTGTGAAATTCCTTTAAAACGCTACTCCTTCTACAGTTTTTGTCTGATTTCAATATAACTTGGCACACAAGTAGACTACAGTAAGATACATAGAATAGTACATCGGTTTTTGATTTCGATGAACGGTGTTGCCATGGTTACTAAAAATAGAATTTTCTGTGAAATTCCTTAAAAACGCTACTCCTTCTGCAGTTTTTGTCTGATTTCAATATAACTTGGCACAAAAGTAGACTACAGTAAGATACATAGAATAGTGCATCGGTTTTTGATTTCGATGAACGGTGTTGCCATGGTTACTAAAAATAGAATTTTCTGTGAAATTCCTTTAAAACGCTACTCCTTCTACAGTTTTGGTCTGATTTCAATATAACTTGGCACACAAGTAGACTACACTAAGATACATAGAATAGTGCATCGGTTTTTGATTTCGATGAACGGTGTTGCCATGGTTACTAAAAATAGAATTTTCTGTGAAATTCAGTTAAAACGCTACTCCTTGTACAGTTTTGGTGATTTCAATATAACTTGGCACACAAGTAGACTACACTAAGATACATAGAATAGTGCATCGGTTTTTGATTTCGATGAACGGTGTTGCCATGGTTACTAAAAATAGAATTTTCTGTGAAATTCCTTTAAAACGCTACTCCTTCTACAGTTTTTGTCTGATTTCAATATAACTTGGTACACCAGAAGTCTCTGTCGAGACTGTAGCTCTACTGGTTTATACTTAAAACAAAAGAAGAGAAAAGTAGCAGTTGGGACTTGAGACTTTAAATCAGCAATAAATAGAAAAATGATCCTTGCCACTCATCAAAATAAAAACTAATGCACAGAATTATGTATCTTAGTATAGTCTACTTGTGTGCCAAGTTATACTGAAATCAGACCAAAACTGCAGGAGGAGTAGCATTCTGAAAGAATTTCA